GGCCGGGAGGGGCGGGGGGGCGTGGCCCGGCCCGCCGGAGGCCCCGCCCCCTCCCCCTCCTCTCCGCCGCGGGCCCGGGACAGCGAGGGCGGGCGACGGTGTCCCACGGCCCGCTGCTGCCCGCCCGCCCACCCAGCTGAGGGGGCGAGCAGGGCCTGGCGGGTGCAGGCCACCGGGCATGGGGGGGCCTGGGCAGGGTGTTGGCCTCAGCGCCCCAGAACTCCCAGCGGCCAGCAGCAGCGGGATGGAGGGGTCCCAGGCCGCCCTGCTGCGGGGCAGGAGGGAGGCGGTAGGCCCCGAGAGGGTGGCCCTTGCCGTGGGGAGGCTGAGGATGGACCTCCCTGTGGTTGTTTGAGCTGCTGGAGCCCAAACCCACAGGTCCATCCTCCACTTCCTCGCCAGGGCCTGGGCCGCTCTCTCCAGGCGCCCTCCAGCCCCCTGGGAGAGGCCGGGTTTGCCTGGGGGAGGCAGGAGGGAATCCCTGTTCCCTGACAGGAACTGTGGGTGGGTGGCAGCGGGCGGCTCTCCAGGCTGGCTGACTGACTGGGGCTTTGTGCTGGAGTACAGGGCGGCTTTCTCCATGCTGGTGCCTGCCCACACCCGTGCTGGTGCCCTCGGTGCCCAGGGAGGCCAACGGGGCCAAGGGGTGTCTCGACGCAGGAGAGGAGTGCCCATTTCACAGCCTGCTGAGCTCCGCAGAGATGCTAACGCAAGCAGGGAGAAAGTCAGAGTCAACCTGTGCCCGCCGGTGTGGTGGTTGTGCCCCTGGCAGACGGGCTTCTGGGAGGGGAGTATGGAGAAGGATGGGACCCCCATGTGCAATCATCAGTCAAACTCAGCCCCAAAGTGGGCCGCTGTGCCCCGTCTCTGGGGGCACGTACCTCATTTTCCAGGCCTGTACTCCCCGGTCTGTTTATTGTCTACATGTTTTCCGTCTGACCTCGGTGGGGAAGGAAATGGCTAATGTTTCCAGGTGCTGGTATGTGCCTGCCTGGATAACGGCAAGTTCTTTCCTCGACTTGGAACAAGCTGTGGGCTGGTAGCAGTGAGCACCAGAGACTGTCCCCCAGACCCTGTTAATGGTGCGGAGATGGCGTCGAGCAAGCACCCCAGATGATCCGCAAATCACAGACTCCTCCCGGGTCTCTCTGCGCAAGCACGTGCTCGGCTCTGGTTGCAGTTGGGCAGATGCTTAGGGATGAGTTAACACAAAAGATGTTTCCCCCTCCCAGCAGCTCCCCCCAGCCAAACCAAATTGCTTGGCAGATCTGGATCCTTGGGGAGGATCAAAGCCTCGGGGCTGGGCTGGCAGCGCTCCACGCTGTTTACATGTATGTATATTCGTGGCACTGTTAACCCCAGACCATTTAATAAGATTGAATTTCGTATTTATTACGTTTCTTAAATACCATCTAAGGAACCTCAGTTTCCTGGGGTATTCCCAATGTTTGTTCCTAGGGCAGAGAAGGCCAACTCTCCGCCTGGCCATGCCTCATCATTTATTCTCCCGCTGCGTTACTGGGGTCTCTATTCCTGCAGTGGCAGCATCTTTCCACAGAGCCGACGGCTTCCTTTGGCTGTGCCTTGTGTGCAGCCTGACTGTCCAGCCCCAGGTACAGCTCGGCCGGAGCAGGGAGCACACACCTTGCTTTCAAATCTCACCATTTCCATGCAGCAGCAGCAGCAGCAGCAAGTGAGCGTGATTCCCCCCCAGGCCAGGGCGGGCTGAGTCTCTCTGAGTCCCTGCAACAACCACATCACTGCCAGAGCCAAGGACTCAAAATAAAAAGAGTCTTTGCTTGTGTTAATGGCCGTGCTGTCCTCCGGGGCAGCCCGCCCGGCGTGCTGGTCTCTGACACGGAATGGCACAGAAAGAAGGTGATCTGGGGACTTCCTCCAGCGAAGCAGGGCTGTTTCTCCAGGCAGTGGCAAAGCCTCAGGCTGTCCCCCTCCCTCCCAGGCTATCTGTCTTCAGCTTTGTGATCCTTTGTTTGTCCCAAGTCCCCTTGAGCCTCCCCAGTCACAACAATTAGAGGGTTTCTTTCTGTCCGGAGCCAAACAGTCTTCGACATCCTGTCCCTTCCCTTCACTTCGGCTGCTTTGTTCTCCGCCCGCAGCAAAATCTCCTTAGCTAAGCACGGCGGCCTTTTCCTCCTCCATCTCAGCACTTCCTCCTATGTTACCCTTGGCCCATTTTCTTCTTCAAGAGGCACCACAGCGATGGAGGAGCAGGACCCAGACCCCACCCCACGGCATGAGCATCGCTGCATCTGCCTGGCCCCACGGAGGAAGAGGCAGCTTGCGTGATGGGACCATCCAAGCTTGCCACCTCCAGAAAGCTTTTGGACGCAACGAGAAGCCCAAGCTTTCTCTCTCAATTGTGTGGGGTTTTATTGCAGGGTTCCAGTGAGGAAAGCACAGCTGTGCTTGCCTCATTTGGATCTTGTTTGATGAGCAGAAAAGACCTGCATCAGCCTGCCTGTCACTGGGCTCCAACGTGCCGCCTCTCACCAAGCACTAGCTTATTGCCTTCCCTTTCTGGGATTTCACTTCCAAATACCAAGCACTTCCACAAATCACAGAATCGCATGCGGGTCACTTTGTTTGATGTGGGCTTTTTTTCTCCCCTCCTGGCTGCTCGGTGCCCTGGGATTATAACCCCCTGGGCACACACACAACGCCCTGGGACAGGCCCATGGGGCTGGAGCCGGCAGGGAGATAAGAGGCCAGGCTGGCTGCCGTGCCCCGGCTCTGTCGCACCACCGCGGCGGATGAAGGGACGGCGCCGGCGGCGGCAGGAGACGCGGCTGGAGAACTTTGCACTGGAATTGCTCTGGGTTATATGAACCCTCGCTCGTGGGGCGATGGCTGCCGGCCCGGCCCCGGGGACAACGGGGTGCGGAGGAAGCGCTGGGGTGGGTGATGCCGCCTTTGGGAGCTGCCGGTTGTGAGCAGCACGGGGTTTTGCCAGCGTGTGGAGCAAGGTCCAGCCCTGCCTAGCGAGCCAGCATCCGTGCCTGGCGAGCCAGCATCCGTGCCTAGCGAGCCAGCATCCACCACTGCCGCCGTGCAGGTGAAAGCAGCAGGCGGAGCGGTGAGAAGGGGTGGGAGGGCTGGACGGCGTCACCCGCGGTAATTGGCAGCCCGTGGCATGCGGCTGAGAGACCACGAGATGCCGGGATGTCTCCTCTCGCAGTGTTTATTCTTTAGGATGTCCCTGTCACACACCCAGCTGCTGTGATTATTAATTACTATTTATACTTTGCTTTGGGTATGCGCTGCATTTTAAAGACCAGCAGAAGTGGGAACCCTGCCCTCCTGGAGGCTCCCAGGCTAGATGGGAGGGGAAGAGCTGCCCTGTGTCTTGGGGGGAGCTCAGACTCCCCTCGATAATGTGCTCAGAGCCCTTCTTCCACCCCCTGATCCCCAGCCACATCAAGAGAGGGAGAGGCCCCCACCACTGTTTCATCAGCCCCCTTTCCTGCTTTTCCATCCCATTTGCTCCCAAGATCTTTAGCTTCTCCCTGGCTCCGCAAGCCTCCCCAGGGCCAGGTAGATGGAGAGGCTCCCCTCATATCACCCTGGGAGTGTACGTGGCAGGGGACACTGGGCACAGCGGGTGTGTGGGGGGAGTTGCACTAATGCCCCTGGAGCCTGCCCATGAAGTCTATACCACAGTGGGTGTTCAGGCTGTTGTATGGATCCTCTGATGGTATGGACAGGGCGCTTGGCCAGGCAGTGACATCTTCCCAGTGCAGAGGGGTATTTTACAGGGAAGAACAGTGTCCCCTGCATGCTGGCTCTGCTGCTGGACTCTCCCCGCCAGGTCTCCTTCCCGGCCCAGCAGCCCCTGGTTAGCTGGAGGCAGACGTCCATCACGGCGTGCACGTGGAGAGGGAACGTGGAACTACGCTGCGGTTGGTGCTGCTGGCAGAGGGTGGGTCGGGGCTGTCATGCAGCTGCCAAAGGGCCACGCTGCTGGCATCAACTTTCCCCTGGTGAGCGGCCAAATTTAGGCACAGCCATCTCCTGCCCCCAAAGCGGGTTTTGGCTGTGCGTGTGGCACCGGCCCACGTGCCTCAGGCACTTCTGTGCTGTGGTTTTCCAAGCTTGGGCTCAATTGCCAGCTCAGCTGAAGGAGGGGTGTGAAAGCAGTGCTGCACTCTGGGGCCGGGGAGCTTGTTGCTCCCTTGTAAGCCCAGGAGCTGCAAGTTTCCCACCTCCCTACTTGGCAGGAGGAAAAGTGGGGGCCAAGCAGGTGGAGGGGTCCCATTGGTACCCGGAACAAGATTTGTGTTTTTGGATGGGTGATCTCTCTCTGCTGCAGTGCCCAAGCAGTGCAGTGGCCAAGGCTTCTTCTGTCTGGCCAAGCATCTGGGAAGAGCCATCTCCCTGCTGGTGGTGGTCAGAAGCCTTCTCCTCCTCGCCAGCACAGGGCACTGCCTGGAGCAGGGGAAAAGGGTGGTGCTGGGATGGGGGACCCCTACCCCTGTGCTGGGGAGAATCCCAGCCCTTACAGTGCCACATCCCTACAGCTGAGGCCCAGCCGAGCACAGCCAGAGCCCGGCAAAACCCTGCTGGGGAGAATCCCAGTCCTTACAGTGCCGCATGTATGTGTTTAATAATAATATTTAGTTTGTTATACATGTTTAATAATGTTGTAGCACTTGATGGACTCATGGTCCCTTCCTCAGATAGCGATATTTTGGAAGGGCTGAACGCCTCTGCCTGTTCCCAGCTGGCGAGGGGGGCAAGGAGCCTCTGTCAGGGCTCTGGCAACACCCTGGTGAGGGCAACCCCGTCACCCGGGCAGGAGGGTTTGCGCTCTGACTCTGTTTTGTCCCTGCGGTACAGCTTGCTTCCTCTTTTTTTTCTCACACACGCTGCGGTAAAACCGTGTGCACCCCAGCTTTTGGAGCAAACAACAAACCCACGTCATGTGTTTTCGCTTTCTCTGTTTCCTTGCCTCCACATGTTAGAAATGTGCAGCGTCCGTGCACTTTCCGTTTGGTACAAACAGAGCCGGCTCGGTCGCCAGTGGAGATGGCAACGGACGGTTTGAATGGGTGCCACAAAAATATTTTGGACTTCGGTGGTGCGGGTCCCCCTCCCTGATTTCCAGACACTTCTGCCGGGGGGGGGCGGGGAGGGAGGGGGGACAGTTTGGCTGGAGGAACCCTGGGGCCATTGGTAGACAGTAGCAGGGCTGAGCAGGGATTTTCTGGAACATGCCTGGCAAATGTCTCGGACTCAAAATGTGTTGGGGGCTCTCACCCATGCTGGGCACCAGTGTGCCAGCCCAGGCCCTGCTGTGGACGTGGGCACAGAGGTTTGGCCAGCCACTCGGCTGCTGGCAGGGATGGCAGGGTCGTGGCTTTGCTAATTTGCTGGCACGTCCCTCCTCTGGGCAACGCTGAGCGGGGACCTCCTTGCCTGCAGCCTGGGGCTGCTGAAGAGACCGGGCCCACCCCCCTGCTTCGGGAATGCCGGCCGTGGCAAGGAGCCCCCGGCAGCACAGGGACATGGGGTGGCTGACACCTGCCCCGAGAGGGGCGAGCCCCCCGGCCCACGCTGAGCTGGCGAGAGGCAGCGCTGGCCCCCGCGGGGCCTTTCCCAGGGAGCGGTGCGGGGCCGTGAGCTGCGGCAAGTCCTTGGCTGTCCCCTCCGCTCTGACGGGCAGCTCAGAAATAGCAGCTGGCCCAGTTCTCCCGCCCCCGTGGCCCAGATCTCTAAGAACGGAGGTTGCTCGCGCAGCAACAGCAGCAACAGCAGCAGCATCAGGCACTGCATTTAGCCCATGAGCTCAAACAGCGGGAGAGGCTGCCAGCAGGATCCCAGCCTGGCTGGGTGACGCTCCTGCTTGGAGACTGCGCTGCAGGCTCTGTTTGTTGCTGTAAACACGCTCGCTGCAGCAGCTTCCCTGTTACTATCTATAGCCGCGATCTCTTGGCTCCCGTGCAAGGCGAGTCTGCGGTCTGGCTCCCAGCTTAGCCTGACCTGAGCCAGGGCTGCCTGACATCCCCGTCGTGGGTGGGTGTCTCCGGGCTTCGCTGCAACGAGGATCAAAACAAAACCCAAACTGGAGGAAAGGACGAGCCTCACCCCTCGCTCCTCGCCGGTGGTTTCCCGGTGGCCCCTTGCCCGTGCCCTTGGCGGGTGTCCCGGCACCCCCCGGGCGCTGCTCCCCCAACTTTCCTTGAGGGGGGCTGCGGGCCCCCCCAGGCTTCCCCCGGCAGGGCTTCCCAGCGCCGTTCCCCTGCCCGGCCGCTATCGCTCTGCATCCCTAACACACAAGTAACTAGCGCCACGTAACACCTTCCTCGCTGCAGGGGAGGGGGTGGGTAGGTCGGGCCCTCCGCACCTAGGCCCCGCCGTGTCCCCGTGCCCACGCCGCCGGGGTTTTACTTCGGGGTGCCGAGCCCACGCCCGGCCCTGCTCCGCCGCCTCCTTCGGTGCACCGTGTCCGGCCACGGCGGGGCTGCGGGTGG